CAAATAATTCCTCTCATTTCTCATTTTAGAAATTGCATTACTTCTACTGGTTTAATCAATAAATCGATTGAGTTAAGTCAATTGGGTGATATGGATAACCGAATATGTGAGAGTATCATAAGGAGCCTGATCAGATTTTGCACATATTGAAGCGAAACCAATAGGCGTTGAACCCTGAGCAACTCTTCACTTTTGCGGCTAGTTTTTTTATATTTCAACCTCCAAGTATGATATTCATGCGGTAAAGGGAACTGCCTTATTGAAGGCACATCTATCAATGTTGTACAAAACTGCTATATACGAAGTTCGATCATCGTATACACGAAGGATCTTTCTGACCACCTGCTGAAATGCCAGAAGACACTATTTATTGTGTCATATGTTGCCAAGAAGGTTTTTTTATCCTCACCCCGTTTCTACATCACAATCTGTGTGCAATTGCAGAGACATGAGCTGATGAGGTAAACAGGTTGTCAAAGTTATGGTATTGTTCCACTTGCTGGTGAAAATCCAAATTGAACAATGACAAATTTTTACTACTAAAAGAGTCATTGGACTACATAGCTGGACTAGCGACATGAATTGTCACTTCAAATATCAATGTATCATGATCCCGTTCTCCGCTTATAATGCTGCATTCTATAATACTATATTCCTAATATACCTAAGTACATACATACATATACATATCTACATACATTGTATTTCATACATGGAAAATATTCCATTCTTTAAATGTATTAACTTTGCCAACCCTGACGATAGTTATTGTATAAGTGAGTCGGCATATTTTAATAAATATTGGTCGAATTTGAAATATCTTACCAAAAAGAAAAAAAATAATATTCGATAATAAGACACTATCTTACTCTATGATTAAGAGATTTCTTTTAAATTATTCTAGAAATTATTGCAATAAATTATAAATATCAATACTGAGTTTTTTGCTTAAATGTTTACAACATAAAATTTTTTTTATAAAAACAATTAAATACTAAACTAATGTTATAGTTGGCCGCCTCTCTCTCACAATATTAATATAATTTACTTTTTTATAAATATTTTTATAATAAACATAATTAGTTATCTCTGTGTATAGTATGACGACTGCTTTGGAGTAAAATACCTTTGTGTTTTAGTCTCTTTTGTATCTTTTTTTCGTACAAGTACATATTTTGCCATTTTTTGTGTATTTTTCTTCTTCTATTTCACTATTGTCGTTCTCGTTGAAATCGTTAAAACATCATTGAGAATGTATGAACCACAAAAGAAAAATACCATATAAAAACCATACAATGTAAGCAAAAAAAAATGTATTTTTGCTGTTTTGTTTTAAAAAGAAGGAAAAACACAGAAAAAAATATAAACGAAAAGAAGAGTAATAATTGGAATAACACGAAAACACGTTGTTTGATTGCTTTATGTTCGGTCTATCAATATTTGTATTTTTATGTTTTTACTTTTTCTTTTTTGTTTGTTTGATGATGTTTGTTGTTTGTTCATCTTCTTTATAAAATTCATGAATATATGCATGTAGGTAAGCATGTATGTATGTATGTTTTTTTAATTTAATTGTATATAGACATATATTGTTTAAACAATTTTTCTTGTACAAACATCTGTCTTATAAAATAACCTTCAATATTTTACAAGTGATATAAACAAAAAAAAACATTCTCAAAAGTATAAATAAAGAGAGTGTTATTGAAAGAGACAGATAGATAAGGGAACGGAAGATTATAAGAAAGTGTGATAAAAAATTCTATTATGTATTTAGCAGAGTCCCAAACCTTTATTTATTTTATAGGTAAAAATGCCGCAAGCTTAAAGTCATGTTGAAAAATTGTGCATGTTTTTGGTTCAGATAAAATGATTTACTTTAATCACGTGTTTTCTTTATATTAGTCTTAAACCACCTGACTTATTCTAAAACACGTTGAGAATTTTGTTTTTATTTGAATTTAATTTAAAATTTTCTATAATATCAGTAATTGATCAAATATCTTGATCCTGCTTAAGTATATTGCAGCCAAAAGACAACAAAATCTGTTGTAAAAGTACAAAAATAAAGTTCAATTGATTTGCAACTAAAACTGAAGAATGGTACCACAATTTATTTATGGTATCACATTTATTAAAAAAAGTTTAAGCGAAAAGGTTCATTGTCATGTATTGATTTCTTTCGACTAGTTATCTGACTATTCTAAGGATTGATTATTGGCTTCCTCCTAGGCTTCCTCCATATGTTAGTAATTTTGATAGTCGGGTGGCTACGGGTAAACCATAGGTAAGTGGTAGATTAAATAGCTAGTTTAGGACGGTTCCCTTGAACTGCTGGGTTATAATAGGACGACAAGAAATCAAGGTAAATAATCTAAAAAATAAGGCTAATGATTAATCTCACCTAAACTTTAAAAACTCGAGGCTTTTTGAATGCCTTGGATACTGCAAATATCAACGAATGAAGAATGCAAAAAATATTTAAAGCTGACAAATTTCTATCCTAAGGAATGTTAGGTATTGCAGGCAAATAACCTCTGCAGACCTCAAATGGCCATTAAAGTTAAGGACCACAATATAATGCTGACACAACAAGGAACACAAGAAATATAATACGGACAGTACACTCATGTTCACAAGGTTATGTACAGGATCCGTTAGATCATACGTCATATACAACAGCTTATAACGACGTTCACAGATATTCCATCAATTCGAACAAAACATACATGTATGTATATGAGATAAACGAACATACGATCTGTGAGATCGAACATCGTATTCGATAGCTTTGAATGTACAAGGTCTACAGTATAAACCTGCCGAATAAAAATGGAGTAGTTCTGGCATACCTGAGGTCTGAATGAAGTAAGTAACAGCACCAATGCCTACTAGTCTCGCATATACCGTGCCGTACCTAACGAAATTATTCATTTAAAATGATGATAATAATAAATTGTCATTTGAAAGGATAGACATTATTAAAATTTACTTTAGGCTACTTTCTTAAAGACCTTGGAGTTTGCTTGCCCTTAAAGTGCATACTTTTGGTTGTTAGATTTAAACTAGATCTACCTTAGTTCTAGTAATATTTCTTATTTATAAGTAAAAGTTCATTGAACTGCTACATATTTTATAACAGATTCTTAAACCTTAAGAACATATCGCCGGAACTTGTACTGAAATTGTAGTTTAAGTCAAAATCTTTTCTGACAAAAGATTCCAATAGCTAGACATGTAAGGAGTAACAAAAAAATTCAGGTAGAATAAAACTTTGAAACAGAAACATTCATTATATGTAAATCTATTGCCGATATCCTATGATCCTCGCTTTGGAACGACCCTAGTTTAAACTCAACCAAAGATTATCAACTAAACGACAGCTCTGGCCACAGTCGACCTAGATCGGTAGAAAAGTTATTATGTATTACAAATTAAAATATTATGATAAAAAGTAATCGAGGTAAATTCTAGAATTCTTTTAAATAATTTACGAAATATATACATAAATCAAAAATTATATTCTGAACTATAAAAATAACACATTAAACTGCTGGCTTAAGATGAAAAATAATTCGAAATTAAAAAAAAAAACAATTTAATGCATTTTTTTGTTAAATAAAACTATTATCAAAATTAAGTGATAAGCATTTATATGTTTTCATTTTGCAACAATTGTCTATTTTAATAGATTTTTATTTGCGTATTAAACTAAGTACAATAATAAATAAAATCAACAAAGATTTATTAAGGTAAATACTTAGTTTAGAAGAAAACATATAGACAAAAATACAGCCACAGAAAAATATACATACTTAAAAATGTGATTTTCATAATTTTATTAAAAATTAAGCAAAAACTAAAAAATATTTACTAAAGGAAACAAAATACATATATTGAAACTAATTAAAAATCAATTGCCGAATGAAAAAGAAGTTAAGTTTTTAACATGAATTATAGGCGCAACTAAAAGTAGATAAAAAATAATTAATAATAAATAAAATACTATATTCTAACTGTAATGGAAAGCTGCATAGAAATAGATGATGGGATGTGTAAATGAATAATAACATTGAATATTCGGTTCGGTATGGTTTGTTTGTTAAATGAAACGACGTGTCTGCGCCACTGAGAAACTTGCCAGTCAACTTACACACATAATGGGAATTCATTTAAAAGATACAATTTGGATTTCCGTTTTAAGATACAACAGCAATAACAAACAATTGTGCTGTGCATATTATAAAGCAGAGGGATCGGTCGGTTGGACGCTTTCATTTTTCATTGGTAGAATTTAGCATTTTTAAAGAATTAAAATTTTAAATAGAAATATAAAATAGCAGACGAATTTGTTTGCATAATTGTTGTTTAGATTTAGAATTTGACTTTTTATAGAAAATAAAAAATGTATTCATGGACAGAGAGCAATAAATAATTTATATTCAGATAAAAAAGGAAAAAACAAAGAGTCCGGCAAGAAAAACTGCAAGAAGATTAAATGACTGTATGATATCAAATTTATTGTTATATGGTCGTATTGTTTAAAAATGCAGGTTCAGATTCATTTTTTTAGTTGGAAACTCAATGAAAGTATTTAATTATATATTAAAATATCAGCTTAAAAATTCATAAATTATTTCCAAGATTTCTCAAGTTCTTTATAATTGAAAATACATTTCAAAATATTACATATTCAGTAAAATTTCCTACTGCAATGTTAGAAATTCTCCTCTCCTAACAATATCACCATAAATTGTTATTAGTAAAAAATCAAAGTTCAAATTTTTGTTAAGTCCAGTTTCATTTAAAATTTTTGTATAGGCATTGAATAAAGTCTGTCTGCAAATCAATTTAATAAAATTTTAAAGAAATATAAAAAACAACTTAAAAATTAATTAAATAAATCTCAGCTTAAATTCAAAATTTACAAAGCTTTGTTGAAAGATACAAAAAAAAGAAAAAGGCAGGAAGAATAATATTAAATAACTTCTTTCACTTACCTCTGAAACAGATTCCTCATCGGATTCTGATAGATCCGTTACCGGCGGCGGATAAAGTTCCGTATCCGTATCGGAATTATCGCTGGTAATGATGTTTTGCAGGGCATTTGAAATTGCATTTACAATTCCAACGGATGACGAAAGTGAGGATGAATTTGAGGATGTCGACGTTGAGTTTGAGCGGGAATTACTGGCAGCGGCTGCAGCTACTACCGATGATGCGGCAGCAGCACTTTTTAGCTTTTGTTTGAGGGCGGCAGCTGCAGCGGCGGCTGCTTGTGCACCAGCACTGGAAGAGGCACCGGCACCTTTGGCCGCTGCAGCAGCAGCAGCCGCCGAACCCACCAACAGCGGTAATGCGGAGGTGAACTTTAAATGGGCATCTTTAGAAGATGACCCAGATTTAGCAGAAGCAGATGATAACGCTGATTTTCCCGAAGATACGGCTGCAGCCTGCTGTTGAAGAGCAAGCGCTGCAGCAGCAGCGGCGGCAGCTGTTGAGGATGATTTCTTCGATTTCGCAGAAGATATACCACCAACACCAGCACTTGCATTTGTTGCCGATTTACTTGAGGTAATTGTGGGCACAGTACCAGTGGCCGTTGACGTAACAGCCGTCGATGGTGGGGGAACTGTGTTTAAGGCTGCCATATCAATATCTACACCACTACCACCAACTGACGATGGCATGTTAGATGCTATTGATACTGTTGTGGCTAATGTTGTTGAAGCGGTGGTTGTTGCTGTTTCTGCTGCTGAATTTTTTGGCATTTTATTGCCATTGGCAGTGTAAACTGCGGAGGTTGAAGCAGAAGTGGAGGCCTGATTTAGGGGGGTGTTGGTAGTAGTATTGTTGGAGGAATTGTTGATGTTACTGTTATTGTTGTTAACTTTTAATTTAATTTTTGCGTTATTTTGGTTGGTGTTGGTATTGTTGTTGTTGTTGCTCGTATTAGTATTTTTCAACCTAGCCGAATTAGCCAAGTTGGTGGCAGGAGCAGCACTTGCAATACAGCTTGCACCGTTATCCAAATCTTCGATAGCTGATAACGATGTTGTTATTGTTGTTGTATCTGAGGTGTTGGAGGTGGAGGCAGATGATGAAGATAATGATGTAGCAGAGAAGGCGGTGGCAGAGGCGGAGGAATTATTCTGACGTCCTGCTGTGGCATTGCCCTGTTTCGAGGACTTTTTATTGCTGCTACCAGTAACAGCAGCAGGATTTTGAGGTTGTTGATTATTATTAGTTGCAATGGTGGAAATTGTGGCAGCTACTGTAGTAGCTGCTGCCAATTTTAAACTATTGTTATTATTATTGTTGCTATTGGTATGATTTTTCTTATTTTTTGAGTTTGTTTTCTGAGGTTGTTTTGAAGACTCTACTGCTGCCACTGTTGATGTTGTTGCTGTTGCTGCTGGTGTATTGTAATTTTTGAATTTGTCCGTGACGTTGCTTTATTCAAATTTTGATTTTGATCATCTTTATTCATTTTCTATAATTTCGTAATTTTTTCTTTTGTTTTTGCACAAATTTTATTTTTTATTCTTTTTAATTTCTTTCTTTGCTATACGTTTTGCACACAGTATTATTTTTGTTATTGTTGTTATAGTTGGTTACTTTCTTTTCTCGTATTTTTCTTTTATTATTTTCGACTTATTTTCTTTTCACAAAATTTCTACGAAAAAATTAAAATTATTTTATTTTTATGACCGAAACGGCATCGACGAAATTTGGTAAATAATTGAAGAAAAAATTTAGATATTTCTCTAATATTTTTTTTTTAAATTAGGAAATTTCTTATTTATTTATTATCGTTTTTAATAAAGGATGATAATTACTCAACTATGGAAAACATAGAGCCCGCATTTTAAACCATTACTAATAATAAGGGGTTAACAATTATTCCATGATTATGGTAAATATTATTTCTTTTATTATTTTTTACATGAAACCACTTGGCAATTAAGATTATTATTGTAAAAAATAATGAATATGCACTATGCAACCCTGTATATTGACTTTTGTCCTTTCTTATATTTATTTCTTCTGTCAGACAGTCACTCACTCTCTCACTCGCAAACACACACCGTTACACAATATGCTCTACAAAAGAACATTCAATTGTACGTACATATATACGTATGTATATACACGTATATATCATTGTTTGTGTGCTTGCACTACTATTTTCCCCTAATAAAAATGCATTGCTGTCAAAAAGAATAAACGAAATGTAAAAGAAAAACAACAGAAACGTCGTATGCACTCAATTAAAGTAAATTAAAGGAATTAAAAAATAACTAAAAAATATTATACGTACATCTATCTATCTATATATGTACATATGTTTGTCGTTGTGGTACATTGCATAGATTTGCGTACAAGAATCCGTACAGCAAAAAAATACCAAAACCAAATTATTAACAAATCAATTTATACACTAACCAATGGCCAGCTAAACTATTGAAAGAATTTTTAGAAATGAAAATTATTTGATGAATAATAAGGGAGCCAGGCCAGAGCCTCACATACATACAAATTTTGGAATGAACCTAAAACTCACATACACAATTCTTCTGTTTTTTGGTCGTCATACAACACTTTTAAAACTCACTCACGACTGGTGAACAACGACACAAAGAGACGTGCAACGAAACTCGAACTTAAAAGGAAACTAAAAAAAGTATTTTTTCTTCTTTATTGAAGGGGCGTGTTAGCTAAAAGGGCGTTATATTTCCCAGATTTTCACTAAATTCTTTCATAAAACTATTAAATTTTCCATTTTCTCGTGAAAAATTAACACTTGAACATTTAATTATTGATAAAAACCACATTTATTTCATCATAATGCTAGATTGGCGACGTCAAAAAAAGTTTTTCTTCACATCACACAAAAAAAAATCAGGTTTCAGAGCCTTCATTTTCACATTTTTTAAGTATTTTGGTATCTTTTTACATAATTTTGTAGAAAATTTGTAGCTCTTCTAAGGCCCAACACTTTTTTAATAAAACTGCTTAAAATTTATGAATTTAGACGATTATAATTTTAATTATTCACCAAAAAATTTTTCAAGAATTTTCACGATGTGCTAACGAAACTTCAACGAAATTCATTTACACACATTTTTACACCGACTTGAACGAAGACCAACATTTTTGTACGGCGAATTCACTATACAAAAAAAAACGACGAGCGACATTTAAGAAGAAAAAGAAACACAGAGAAATGAACAAAAACAGAGTTGCTGCAATATGTAGTAGTAGTATGAATTTTAATAACTTTACGAGCAACCGTATGTGCTAAGAACAATAGCGCAGCACTTGAAAGGAAAAAAAAAACTTTTTTTATGACACGGGTTTCGGCTTTTGTTGTAGATTCTTTGCGATAACACTTCATTTTCTCCATCACATTGATTATGTGTTTATGTTTAATAATATATTTTATCAACAAGAATTATTAACACTTTATATACATAATTTATTACAGTTTTAGAAACACAATTTCTTAGATTATCTTTCTATTAACTTAACCTCAATTTAATATGCGAAAACGCGTGTACTTTTTGTTTGTGTTTACTGCCGTATGAATAAAAAGTGACTAAAATTTTTCGCTAGTATCGCACAAATTCACAGTTGTTTTATTTGGGTAGACGTTTTTCTTTTTTTCCTTTATTCTCTTAATTATGCATATGTGACTATTGCACACGAAGATTTTTCATTTGCAATTTGTTATACACTTAATCACTTTTTACCATATAAACATCAGCATGTTTCTTTGTTTAATGACATTAAATTAGAGTTTTATGCAAAATTTTTATATTTTTTAGCAAGATTTTATGCGAATTTTAGTTAATTATCCGCTATATATTTTCACACCACATTCATAAACTTGCACGGTTGTCTTGCCACTAAATCGGGTTTCTTTTTGGTATGGCAATACCACCAAGCGAATTGAAGTTATGACAGTGATGTATTTTTTGGGAACAAATTATTTACGTTTTCATTAGAAAATATATAAAATTTAAGAAAAGTATTAAAATTTTAATGGATTAAAATATAACGTTAAAATAAAGATTATACAATTTCACTTTAAAGAAAATTTGTATTAATAAATAAAAAGATCTAAATTATATATTAGGATCTCTTTTAAAAATTGTTTGTAAAATCCTTTATAAGCTTTCATATGTATACAAATCTTCGATATATACGTAACTACCAAAATTATTTTATACCGTATTACAGTATATTGTATTCAGACAACAGACTTTTAATTTTTTAATATTTTAATAAAATTATACATTTTAAGAATTTTCAAAATGATTTGCGAACCAAAATTAAAATGTGAATGAAACATAAATCTAACAAAATATAAATTTGTATTAATAAATAAAAAAGATCTAAATTATATATAGGATCTCTTTTAAAAATTGTTTATAAAATCCTTTATAAGCTTTCATATGTATACAAATCTCCGATATATACGTAACTACCAAAAATTATTTATACCGTATTACAGTATATTGTATTCAGACAACAGACTTTTAATTTTTTAATATTTTAATAAAATTATACATATTAAGAATTTTCAAAATGATTTGCGAACCGAATCTAAATTTACCTCAGTCAATTGAATTAGAATCTCTAAAGAAGGCCACTGAAACCCTTACAGCTGGACTTGGGAAAACAAGTTTAGATCAAACAAACCTTAATCGTGAAGTGTTATATGAACAAAAGGATTACGATCTCCTACCATTATTCAAAGATCAATTTCAACATTTAAATCATACTTTATCGTTGCGCTTGAATGATTATTTGGCCTGTCGTTGGAATACATTCTTAGATAATGTACCGGAAAATTACATACGCATCCGTTTATATGTAGACTTTAAAAAATCGCTGAAGTAAGTTAATATTACATTCTGAGTAAACTTATTTAATGCGATTTCATTTTTCTAGAACTTATGTGGTAAGACGCAAATTATTAAATGGAAATTTTTTGGCATTGATAATAAACTTGCACCAACACCTCAGTTAAGGA